CTAAGGAAATTGATGATCGTGATCCTTGGAGTATCTTAGGCTATAGTACTCCAAAGCTGATTGTCGATGGAGATGGTGTTACCTCAAGGTCCTTGTTTATGGTACACCCATTAGTTTTGAGCAAGGATCAGGCAAAACTGGTGAAGGCTGATGAGGAAGTGCTTCGTTTTGATCACATTTGGACGGACATCACTTCAAAGAGCTCAACAGCCAGGACTTCTGGAGAACCTCAACAAGATGAAGAAGATGACTCTGCTCATGTTGCTGAGCGTGAGATGACATGGTTCATTCAGAATGTCAACAACCTGGTTCTCAACCCATGGATGGTATATGACATTGGCATGGTATCACTCCATGATCGTGTAGGGACACGTGTACTCCAGAGCACTGGAGAAGACGTGATCCTCGTGAGGGATTGGGACAGGTTGACAAGGCACCAGAGAGAATATTTTTGTAGGAGATACAAGTTGCTACGTCCAAGTGTTTATGGAACAGAGGAAGACCCCAAGACGTATGCACCGAGTTTTGAACCCGGAATTTCTCAGTGGATGGAGTTGGCACAAACTGGATACCAACAGTTTTTCTTCATCCGTGCTTGGGAGAATGGACGCCGTTGGGCTGAAATTCTGACAGACCATGGTATTGCTTCTGCAGAACTTTCAAGTTTCTTGGATATGTGCAGAGATCCCAAATTGCTGGGTTGGAACTTTGGTATTCCAGAACCTCAGTGGGATAATTTTGGCAATACAGTGGAGGAAGCATTCAACAATCCCTTGTTTGCCAAATTGCACTATCGCTTCAAGCAGGAGGAAGAGATTGGTCGTGTCATGCACCTTGTGTCAGAACTTGTTTGTGACTTTTTCATCAAGGTGTTTCCCAAGTGGGTTCTGAAGCATTCGATCTTGTGGGAAGAGTTTATGATTTTGGATCCAGTTACAAAATTTCCTTTTTACAAGACTTCAGAGGCCGATTTATGTGCAGAAGTGGATCCAGAGAAGTATCATACACATTTTGCTATGAACTTCAAGAAATTCCGTTTTTCTGCAAGGATTGTGTGGTATTTGATTGACCGCGACAGGAATCATTTAGAGAGTTTTCTTCACAACTCCAACAGTAGATTTGTGCAACATGCATGCTATCAACTTCGTGAGTATGTTCAGGCGCGTGTTGCAGTTTCTGATCCCTTGTATGAGATGATCAAGAAGGAAGAGTTTGAACGCCAATACAATTCCAAGTTTTTGGAGGCGATTTCTTGCTCTCGTGTTGTAGTTGAGCCTGTAAGTTCAGGGACGTATGAGCCATCATCGAAGCTGAACTTAAAGGTACTACAAGACATCCTGAAGGGTATCTTCAAGATCCAGAAGGATGAGGAGCTTGCCAAAGAACGTGATGAAGAAGAAGAGCAGGCAGCTCAAAACATCTCATACCTGTTGGCAGATGATATGGAGCTTGATTTTGATGATGATGATGTTCCAGTATGGCGCTCCAGTGTCGACAAGTATAGAGGAGGTGATCAGGTGCTACAGGGAGAAGCTGTGAAGATTACTCACCTGTTCAGGGATCAAAAGGACAATGAGAAGGCGACAGAAGCTTTCAGTTCAGAGAGGACAGATTTTTATGAGACCTCAGGACCTCTTCCAAGAACCGAGGGAGAAAATCTTGTAGAGGACTTGCTCACCAAGGATGTTGCAGAACAAGCTTTTGAAGCAGGTGAAGAAGTTCCTCCTTATACAAGAGTCTCCACTATCGCTGGTGAAGTCTATACTGGAAGTAGGACACTTCTAGAAGATGAGAATATGGAAGAGGAAGTTCCTGAAGAAGATCCTGCAGTTGAACCTGGAAAGGAACAAGAAATATTTGATGAAGATGCAGGTGTTTTTCCTTCAGAGGAACCAAAGATGGAAGTGGACCAGGAGGAAGCCAAGGGAGAGTCAACACCATACTTTCTGTCAAGAGAGATAGGTGAGGACTCGACTGCATCGCACTTACCATCAGGTGAGATGGATGCTAACCTTGATGATACTTCAGGTCAGCGGAAATCTAAGAAAAGCCGCCTGAATAAGATTCCTGATCCTCATTTTCATGAAGAAGTTCAGGATGATGCAACCATGGAAGAGAAGAAAGAGGCGGTGGAGAAAATAAAAGAGGTCAGAGAGGATGATGGAGAGAAGAAATTGGAGGCTGAAATCCAAGAATCTTTTCCATCTGAAGTAGTTGTTGAGAAGGATACAACAAAAGCTGACAATACCTATGAGCTGCATACTTCACCTTTGAAGTTGCTTGGAGAGCTTACAGGAGATCCAGGTATTGGCCTTTATCAACTATGCTTCAGGGAAACTCACGCAAGATTGCTGAATCATGTTTGCTTCAGAAAAGGTGAGATTTCCCATCCTCATTATCAGTCAAGGATCAACGAGAATGATTTTGTTCGATCCATTCGTAATGTCTGTCCAGTACCTCCACCTGATTGTTATGAACATGAACCAGAGCATGATTTGAAGAGATTCTTCATCAATGATGATCGCATCATTTATTTGGATGGCAAGTATCAGGTCGATCCAAAGGCCCTTGAAAGGGCAGGACATGCTCGAGAAGAATTGGAGGAGACGAAGAAGGAACTCAAGAAGGAACTGGAATCCTATGGTCCCAAGGGACCCAGTTGGGACTTTGTCACCTTCTATGAAGAGCTGTGCAGAAGGTTCCTCAAGGGAAGAATAGAAGAACCATATGGAACTAACTTATTGGCCAGCTCAGAGTCCTTGACATTTTTATCCTGGAACTATGGCAACATGGTTCGTGGTCAGAAGTACACCACACCAAGGTTTCTCCAAGGACTTGATAGTGCAATGAGGCCACGCAAACAGAGCGCCATGTCACTTCAGAATGAGCAATTTGAGAACAACCTTTTCTTCAACATGCTCTTCTTTCTACGTGCACATGTCGTGATTCCCCAGGAAGCTCATCTTCTTGTTCCTGCCAAGGAATTTATTGAGCAAAAGAATTGGACAGTTTGTTTCAATGATTGGGAGAATCTTGCAGTGATGGCTAGATTGGCACCAGGTGGATATGTCAAGATCATTGCTGGACATGACCAAGACCTTGGTCACTGTGAACAGCGTGATGTAACTTGGGCTATCTACGAGATTTGTTTTGGAGAAACAAGGCCTCGTCAAGATTTCAAGGATGCAGACTTTGAATTTGATGACTATGGTCCTGAGGACAAGCGTGTTCCACTTACTCGAGCGAACATGCATACAATCAGAGTCTGTAATTTATCATGTTGATACACACCGTGCTGTGGATGCCCACCTACTGACAGGAGAACAGACAGCATTGATGCTTTACGAGTGTTTTGTCTATGAGGTGGACATCATTTCTGGTGATGCAAATAGTTTGGCCTACAGAATGTCTGGGTACAAAAGGCAGCCAATGGCTAACTACTATTACAGCACCATGCAGCATTGGATCCGCAGGTTTTCAGAAGCTCGTGTAAAAGCAGATCCTGGTATCAAAGCACCTATTCCCAGAACATTTTACAGTTCAACTTCACAGGTCCTCAAGAAGTGTGAAGTTTACTTTGATAAACTCTGGGAAGAATATTCTACTGTTGAAAAAAGAAGAATACCAAGGATCACAGCTTGGCGATACATGTTTGTCTACCATTGTTGAATGGGGTCATTCAATGAGTGAAGAGGAATATGAAAATTCCACAGTGAGCACGAAGGAGTTCATCTGTAATTTTTCAGAGAACTTTGCTATGATTGACACGGAGGTTATGTGCTCAAGGCCCACTGACGAGGACAGTCATGGTCCAATGTTTATTTCACTCAGACCAGCTTCCTTTTCATCTGGAGACAGAAGACAGTATCGCATGGGAGCAACGCTTCATGAGGCGAACGTGCGGAGGAAGGAGAGACAGAAGCAGAATAGAAAGAAAGGAAGGCCGCCAACTTCTGATCAAGCAGCTTCAACGTCTGCAGCGGCATAATTCCTGAGCGAAGGCTGAAATTTAAATGATGGCTAGGAAGTGAAGATACTTCTGGTTACAGTTGATACCTGCTTCCAGGCTTGACTTTAAGTTGCCAGGCTGAAGTTTTAATAAATTCTGGTTTGCAATGAGGAGAAACTTTTTATCAAAGAAGATACTCCTGCATTCCAGGTTTATACGCTTTAGCGTGTAGATAGGTATGGACAGTTTCGTATAACTGATGATATCTATCACAGTCGCTTTTCTGAGATGACCTCTAATGGACAACCAGTCATGGTTGATGATTAAGTCATTTCATGATTTGCAATTGTAGTGCAAGATTTTTTTTGTACATACATTTGCCGGTATCTCCTTCTTGTGTTTTTGATGTGAATGTGAAAGAGAGTCCTTTTGATGCAGTTTTATTTGTCTGTGAATGAAAGCGGTCGAGACCACGTCACGAGAAGATTATTCCTCGGACCGTACGCTCCTTGCATTTTGCAAGGCATTTTAATTAATTGCATTTGTGCGGTCTTGAATTTTTAGTTCCTTGTTACGCGAGTGTCGTTTGATTCTTTTATAGGTCTCTGTAGAGAAAAAGCCGCTTTCCCTTTTTAGTTTGATTTAGCTCAGGCCCTAAAGAGCTAGTGAGCGCCGGTACATGGTATCTCCGCCTGCGAAAAGTACAGTCTCCAGCCGAGGTACATTATCGTTTTGATTTTGTACTTGAGGTGAGTCAGCTATTGCTCCCTCACTGTATTTAGTAGCTATGAGATTACCTTCTCTAAAGTGTGAAACACACTGGATTAGGTAAGTACATGGCACCGTAGTTTCCTTTTAAGTTGTCAGAGCTAGCTGGACTGTTTTAGCCTTGCAGTAGAAAAAGAGTATGCGACATACGCAATCAGCTAGGAGTGGACATGAATCTTGTGCCTGCTGAAAAGTAGAGCCTACCTGTACAGGGTTCCACTCCAACAGCCGATATAGTGTGTCCATGCTTGACTGCTTCAAGGCTCAAAGAGCAAGAGGATAAGACTCTGCGCATAAAAGACACTAGCGGTCTGCACCTCTACCGTGTACGCCCTAGTCACTCTTTCACCCCCCACCCCCCCCAACAACCGAAATATGATTTCCACCAAACGCGCGCGCCGCTGCGGGTCGCGAGTGGGCGTGACACCAAGAAGAACCGTAGTGATGCACCTTCTCGAAACCGCCCGGTTCCTCCACCTACTAAGGATTTGCCTCTGTGGCTCCTCGATTTGAGGAACAAACGATGTGACAGATTTGAGCGGGTGTTAGCTTCTAGCAAGTGACCTAAACTGGCGGCGCGCTGGCTACGCTTCCTGTTGTTGCTAGCCGGCGACATAGAGAATCCTGGACCATCGTCCGGCTTCCAAACCACGACGCCCGTGCCTCGAGGTCCTCTCGACATGAATGTCGGTTTCGCAACAGCGACCTCTGGTCGCATGCAGCTTTGTCTGGAAGCCTTTGCAATTTGGCTGAGGTTTGAATTTGACGTCTCGAGCAGATTGGTTGGGATTTTGCTGCAGGTCCTCTTGCAGTACGTGCCTACGGGATGCGTTTGTTTGCAGCTGGGCACCCCCGGTACAAATTTGTCTACACTATCACAGCCATGCAGGATGCTTTCCACATTTGAGACCCTTTTTCAGTTCAGGTTGGCAGGTTGATAGAAAACGGCAGCAGCGCGAACCTGGCTGCTGTCGGCCTGTGCTTTCAGCTCCGATCTTGCGAGCCATGACTGCACTCTGTTTACTTTGGAAGTGGCACCGCTGGCTCGGGATCACGTTGATTGGTTTTCTAGGAATGTTGCACCCTGCTGAATTTGTGCACTTGGTCCGAGCTGACCTTTTGCTGCCCTCTGACACCTTGGTGGATTCAGATTCATTCAATGTGCACATCCGGCACCCTAACACTGCGCGGTTTGCGCGGAAGCAACATTGCAAGATCGATGACCCCATCGTGCTGCAATTCATCATCAAAGTTTTTGCTAGGTTTAAATCTGCTGAGCAACTGTTTCCTGGTGGGCCATCTACAGTCGGAGGTGGGATGTGATCCTTAACAAACTTGGACTCCCATCAACTATGAAGAACCAGGGAGCAACGGTGGCGCTACAGCGCTGTATCTCCGAACGGAAAACTTAAGTTTGATTCAATGGCGAGGCCGATGGGCCCAGCTGAAGACAGTAGAGCATTACATCCAGGAAGTCGCGGCTCAATCGCTGCTTTCCACGCTCCCTTCCTTGGCTCGAGAAGTGATCCGCGAGTTTGATGCTGCCGCTCCGTTGCTGCTTGAACAATTTTTGGCTGACCACTCAAAGCAATGAAATTTTGGATGGATGTCATCCACGTCACTGGAATTGCCACAGTGGCTTACTTGTGTGTGGTTGGACATCGTGTGCCGCTCATGCAAGGGTCTTGGCTGACTACATGCGAAGTGAACGCTTGAACCGCTCATGCAAGGCTAAGGGTCTTGGCTGACTACATGCGAAATGAGCGTTTGAACCGCTGCAATTTGCAGCGATTGGGACGTCTTGCAACAGCGAGAAAAGAAGGCGGCAGCAGGATGATATATATATATATATGCGATGTACAATGTACACACATTCTGACAAGTTCGATTCCTGTTGCACTCCTGTACTTGAATTCGCCAGCTGGAAAAAAGATTATCCGATGACCATGACCCTCAACTGGCATCGCAGAGGTTGCCGATGCCGCATCTGGATCATATTGGCCAAACTTGCTCATCTTACAGGGCGAAGCCCTACCAGCCTGCGGGCTTACACAGCAATTACCCGCACCACTCATCGGCATACCTTTGCTTAGCCCGTTGAAAATATAACACGCGATCTGAATAGAGAGACGCAATCATGGCTCTGGCAAGATCTCTATCGCTCCTGCAGCTACAGCTGGGAAGTCTTGCCTCAGCAAGGGGCCGAGCCCTACACCACAAGCGTGAGATGTTGCCGACATGCCAGAACATGCCTGCTTGACCTCAACCAAACCAGAAAGTGTGACGTAGCATGCTTCATGGGCTTGGATATGCGGTTAGGACATTCAGATTCAGGAGTGCCATGAAGTTGTTTCCTTGTTGAGGTTTAGGTTCACCATGGACCGACAGAAGAATCCAGAGCATTTGCTAAACACAGTTTCTCAAACGTGCACTTGGTGTATATGTTAAGCTGAAGCAGCCAAGCCAATTTGTGCCAGACAACTACCTGACTTTCACCGCAGATGAGTGCCGCATCCCCTGCAATTTGGCTGCAGAACGCACCACAGCCGTCCTTGTCGTTTTGGCTGGTCTTGAGTTGGGACTTGTGTAATGTGCAGGTGGAGATGGCATCAGGCACATTGTTGCCGGTGAGGACTAAGCTTGGGTGTTGCGCAATTACACCCTCACAACTGCGTGGGAATCAAAGCTCCAAAGGAATGCGACGACGGCAATGTCATTGATGGGGATGGCTGTACATCGTCGCGCCCCCACTGACGTTGCAATTGGTGACGAGAGAGACTGAGAATCAGAGCAAAAGAGAGAGGGAAAGAGAGGACAGAAAGGAGAGAGATTTACAGGACCGCTTTCCATGTTAAGTTTCCATATAAATCTAGGAACCAAACTGTTGGAGCGAGCGCTTCTTCATGGAAGCTCCTTCCCCACTTAGGCGGGGGGAGCTTCCTTGAAGAAGCGTGAGCTATCCTGTGTCCAGTCACTAGAAGCTTACTCCCGTACTTAATTCAATGGGAGTGGGCTTAAACAAAAAGAGCGACAAAAATTCCACGAGACATTGAACATGGGTCGCGCAAGCTTTGGCCGTGTGCAATTTTTTCTACGACTCCAACTGAAAGATCCTGAAAGTACAAAATGCATCGGTTTCATTTGCAAATGCTATGGCACTAAAACAAAGGCCAAGGCATCGTGATTCACTAGCCTAGGCAATGCGTCAGAAGCTGGACAGGAAAACTTTTCTTGACACAACACACTCACGCGACAAAAACACCTTCTTCTCTCACACGCAGCTGATTTGCACCTTGCCTGTTCATGCTGAGGGACTGCCGCATAGAAAGTGGCTATGAATGTCCTACTATTGGCTGGCCTCAGGCGAGCTCAAAACACGCAGTTAATGGTGTTTCTTTTGATGAAGGTAGATGTATTTACAGTTGGTACTTTGGATTTGTGTTCCTAACCGAGACTTTGAGCAGTCTTGCAGGGGAATGATTACGTCGTATCTAATGCGGGGATCTGCAGGGCTTCACGATTTGAGACCCAGGCATTTTTCCCAAGGAATAGACTGGGGACCTTCACCGTTTGTGGCTGAAGCTCCTATTTCCACATGTTCAATCTGCTTTGTTTCCTTCTTCCTTCATCCTCGCACCGCGGCTATCTCCAAAAGTGATGGCTGAAGCCTCCCGGACCTTCAGAGCACATGTCAATGCACGCGTGCGTGTTTCTCTCAATCGCCGTTCCCTTTTCAGGAAACCTTGGAACAGTTGGACACACACAGAGGGTGTAACTAAGCAATGCGCACCTCTTGCAGGAAGTGGTTCTCCAATATGGGGTTGTGGATTTCTGATTCAATGCCCACTTCTGGTGTAATGTGTCCCAGCCTGCTGCCCAAGTGTACCAGCCAACCAACCCTCTTCCCGTCAGTGCTGCCTCCTTGATTTTGGGTGGTATTGAGTTGAGCTAGAGGCAATAGTGAAAGAAGTGCAGGCAACTGAAAGGAGAAGTGGTTAAGCTGCTTCTGCAAAACTCGCTAAATGGGCTGGTTGGCAAATTGCGGGCGCTTTGGAAAAGGGCTTTGAGGCCAGCCTTGGCAATTCCATCTCTGCCTGGTGGACTGACAGTGCTCCGCCAAAATTTGGAGGAACTTTGGTGACATTGGCTACATCGCCCTCAATCTCACCCTCACCGAATAAGGGCCCAGCAGAAAACCAGAGCTTGGGATTAGATGTTTTGGAAGTGGTCGCTGAGCGAAAAGGCTGTGACGGCCATGAAGGGCCGTCGGAAGACGGATCGACAAGAGGTCTTCACGTCGGGAAGTTTTCTTGGGTTCATTCTTTGACAAACTTGGTAACAAAGAGTCAGTCTCATTTCAAGCCATCCTAGTTTCCCCAGCAAGCCGCGCGCTTACGATCTTCAAGAGTAGAATAGCCAAACCAAAGCCTTTTTGTCGATTGAATGTCAGAACTGCAAAAACTGCAGGAAGTGAGATCAGCCGATGTGTTCCCGAGTCTGTCGTGACCAGGTGCTTCTAACTCCATGTCATCCGATTTGTGGTGACGGTCTTCGACTTGGAGCGGAGGACCATGTCCAGTGGTGGAGTGAGCTACTTTTGCTCATGTGCAGTCAGGAGTGCGACGACAACAACACGGTTTCCGGCGACGGATGTGGACCTGATTGCAAGGCCAATAGGACAGTACCCTGCAGCTATATAGTAAGGGCTCCGCCCTGGTGCCGCCGACCCCTTTTCTTGGGGGAGGAGCTGGAAGACCAGAAGCCGGACAGGGATTGCTATAAGCATACACCGGCTATGTGCTCAAGACTCTGTATTCTTGATTCCTTTTACCCGGGCTTAGGCTACACTACGGACGCGCCAGTGTATGCACAGTCCTTGTCAGGAAAGCTGAGATGAGCTGTGTGCCTGAAACCTTGACATATCACACTGGTGGTGCTTGCTGCCGGCGGCGCTGCTGCTGCTGCTGCCGCGGCTTGATGCGGCGCGGCTGCTGCGTGGTGCTGCTGGCTGGCTGCTGGTTGGCGGTTGGTGCTGGCTGCTGGCTGCAGGCGGCTGCTGCAGCTGCTGTTGGCCGCTGCTTGCCGCATAGGACTTGTACTTCACCGTTACAAGTTGTTCACCCCTAGTTCTAACCTAATGCACGCAGAAGCGGGTGGCAAATTTACCCCCCAGGCTTGCTATAACCATACACCGGCTATTTCCTCAAGACACTCTATTCTTGACACCTTTTACCAGTGCTTATCCTACACTACGGACGCCCTAGTGTATGCACAGTCCTTGTGATGCTTACCCCTCGTTCCGGCTGAAGGCATAGATAAGCGGGGGGTAAATCGACCCCCCAGATTTGCCATAACCATAAGCCGGCTATTTCCTCAAGACACTCCACTCCTTATACCTTTTACCAGTGCTTAGCCTACACTACGGACGCCCTAGTGTATGCGCAGTCCGTATGAGGTCAGAAATGCATACCCCTCTTTCCGACTCAAGGCATACAAAAGCGGCGGGTAAATTTTCCCCCCCGATTTGCGGAGCACGCATGTTCATGCTTGCCAACGAGTGCACCCGGGTTGTTCCAATGTACCCTGCCCAGTGAGCGATGTCGCATTTACATTCTCTAGCGCCAAGTATGTACATAGCAAGCTTCCTCCCAAAACATGTAATCCCTACACGCTTTGCCGACGATGTAACTAGTACATCCGGTGCGACTCGGCTAGCGTTCGACCTGCTCCCCCTGGCTTCAAGTGATGCTTATCCCGTGGGCGAAGAGAAGAGGCAGGCCCATAGAACAAGCTTTCTGGGCCAAGCTGCGGCCTGCAGGAACGTTTGCGGGCGGGGCCGGTGGGCGAAGAGAAGGGGCAGGCTTCGGACAGGCCACAGAGAGGCCGCGGCAGGCCTGCCGGCTGCCGAGGAGGGTTTGAGGGCGGGGCCCGTGGGTCTCTAACGTCGCCTTCGGAAGCCCATAGAAAAAGCTTTCTGGGCCAAGCTGCGGCCTGCAGGAACGTTTGCGGGCGGGGCCGGTGGGCGAAGAGAAGGGGCAGGCTTCGGACACGCCACACAGAGAGGCCGCGGCAGCCTGCCGGCTGCCGAGGAGGGTTTGAGGGCGGGGCCCGTGGGTCTCTAACGTCGCCTTTGGAAGCCCATAGAAAAAGCTTTCTGGGCCAAGCTGCGGCCTGCAGGAACGTTTGCGGGCGGGGCCCGTGGGCGAAGAGAAGAGGCAGGCTTCGGACAGGCCACAGAGAGGCCGCGGCAGGCCTGCCGGCTGCCGAGGAGGGTTTGAGGGCGGGGCCCGTTGGTCTCTAACGTCGCCTTCGGAAGCCCATAGAAAAAGCTTTCTGGGCCAAGCTGCGGCCTGCAGGAACGTTTGCGGGCGGGGCCGGTGGGCGAAGAGAAGGGGCAGGCTTCGGACAGGCCACAGAGAGGCCGCGGCAGGCCTGCCGGCTGCCGAGGAGCGTTTGAGGGCGGGGCCCGGGGGTTGTCTAACGTCGCCTTCGGAAGCCCAGAGAAAAAGCTTTCTGAGCCAAGCTGCGGCCTTTGTTTGGCCAGTGCAGGAGTGATGCCGACGCAGTAGGGCTTTGAAGGCGGGGGTGGCTGCTTAACGTGGCATGCTGGGGCTTTCGTTTGCACTGCCACCCGTTCCACCCTCCGGTGTCCCTGGCGCCGCCCCGCTTAGGCAAGGGCTAAGCAGGGGTCGGCGGATACAAAACTATTTCTGCGGATTTGGCAGGTGGAGCTTGGTTGGTTCTGCAAAAGGGCAGCTGATGGTGGAGAGGCCAGCGTTTGAAGGCGCTTGACTAGGAGAGGACACAAGAACTTTGGTTACGCTGGACAGGTGTGCTTGAACACATGTCTCAATGGGATCATTGACCCTGGCGAAGAATGTGACGATGCGAATACTGTTCCCGACTGAGCTTTGCATTGTAAAGGTCTCACAACAGTGCGTTCTTGTTTATGTTCCAGACATTTTGTCGATTGGTTTTGTGATTCGTTTGAGAGTCAGTCTGAAAAAAACAGGTGTTGTGGTTTGCTCTCAAATCTTTGTACTATTTTTTTGAAGATATTGAAGGGCACTTTTCACTTTGTATGCCATGTGTGAATCCAAGTTCCACAACGACGGGTGTGCCAACTGCATCGTAGAGTTGGGATGGAAATGCAGGATACTAAGATCAGGTCTGAAGTCTCTTGTTCGACAATCGAATGTTTTTTTGGCACCCATTCTCAACTCGTTCTGAACTCGTTCAGGTGAAACGATTTTGAACCGCGCAACGTCAACTTCC